CCCCCCCTCCCAATACCCCCCTCAGTTCCTCTTGCCTCAGATCAGATGTCCACAACATAGACACCTCCCTGTGAGGTACCTCACTACTGCTAATTAGTGAGCTACTAATGCTCACATGTGGAGATTAAGGATAGGAAGGAGCTGTTCAAATGCAAATATCTGGTGAAATGGGGGCTGTTACTCCCAGAGCGTGGAAGGACATTCCTTTGTCCAACCACACCTGCACTGTCAGTAGATACCCACATCTGCGACAGCTGAAGCTGTCCCTGCTGTGCATAATGGGGGCAGCCTATAAAGGGATTTAGCCGAACAAATGGAGTCGTGTGCCACAGGAGCATGATTAAGCTTATTTCTTTCTCTTCTGCTTTATCACCTGTATTTTCTAGATCTTCCTTGACTGCAGTGGCTGTTGTATCATGGACATTCCCGCGTGTCCTCAGCTGTTATCAGCAAGTTTGTCCCAGCTTTTGTGTCTTCTTGCAGGACTTTATTGGATACAGCTAGTGATACATGGAGATAAAATGAGGGATTCCTTTGCAAACTGTATCCTTAAGTGTCCAGAAGTGAATGAGCCTACGACTCACATGCAGTACACCATGGAAAAGATTCTCTCATTTTGGTCACTTGAGCTATTAAGGATAGCATCATTAACTGTTGTGTGGTCTTGATCAGGCTGCTTCCCAACTGCTTGATCAAGGAGAGCAGGCAGAAGCCTTTTGTCAGCAATCTGAGGTGTCTGCAGATCAATGAGCAGCTGCCTATGGGAGCTGCAATTGCCCTGGCATTCTCTGGCCGAGCAGAACAACAGCCCACCGAGTTCAGAAAACTTCTTCACACAGCTGCTGGGGGGGAAACACAGGTGATGCTCAGCTGGGTGTCACACTGGCCAACAGGGAGCTAGTCAGGGCTGTGATAGTCAGGGCAGCTTTGGCTCCTTTCACCTGACATGGACCTGATACTCACAGAGGAGTGTGAAGTCTCCAGCTGATAGAGTTTCCTTACAAGTAAAGGAGTAGACAGGGGTGGTGCGGGCCTACTGTTGTGTCAATAAGCACAGCAGCAGAGAGGGCTGATGTACCTCACGGCTTCTTTGCCTCTGTCTTCACCAGCAACGCTTCCCTGGCTTTCCTGCCTGAAGGCAGGATTCCAGAGCACAACTACCAAATGGTGGGAGAATTCCTCGACAGCAGCCCTGCCAAGAAGCTCTTGGGCTTCCCTGGGAGACAAAAAGCTTCACCTGTGTCAGCAGTGTGTGCTGGTAGCCCAGAAAGCCAACAGTATTGTGGTCCGCAACAAAAGAGCGGTGGGCAGCAGGGCAAGGGAGGCGATCATCCTTCTCTGCTCTGCCTTCATGAGGCCCCAACTAAAGTACTGTGAATCCTCTTGTGGTATCCTGGCCCATCTCGTGGCTTGGAAGATCATGGTGATCTTAATTCTGTCTCGTCAGCTGATGGTAGGTCACAGGAACGCTGGCGGGTTGGCTAGTGGGTGGTTGCTGAGATGATGGATCTCTGCTGAATGAGGCATCTGGAGGTGGGGGCTCTGGGGCCGGGCCGCTCCGCTCCAGGGCCGGGCCAGGTTTTCATTTCTTTATGTACTGCTGTGTTGTTGCAGCTGCCCTTCTGTATTGTTGTTGCTTTTTTTGTTTGTGAATATTAAAACGTGTTATCTCTGTGTTGGTTGTCATCCTGCTCTCTTTTCTCTGTTTTGCAGGTCAGCTCGTGCTGGAAGTTGGTGGTGTCACTGTATGAATGAAGGTCAGTTCAGGAGCAGCTGCTGATGGAAGGAATGAAGTCCACGTTAATGGGCTGAAGCATCTCCTGGTAAGGTGTCAGAGCTGGCAGTAACGATGTCTGTCGTGAAAAGCAGAGGGCTGGCTCATCCAAGTGCTTGCTGATTGATGTGTGAGAGCATCTGCCTTCTCCAACTGAACAATAAGAAAGCTGGATATGCTGAACCATTACAGCTCATGCAGAAGTTGTGAAAATGCTCTCAAATGTTTCCTTTAGTGATAAGCTGTGTTTTGGCACTGTGATGGTCCTGTCTCTGATCTGGAGCACTGCATCTCTTGCAAGCCTTGTGTGCCCGTTTCCATGAACCTTCCTTTCTTTCACTCTTCAGAAGAAGTGCTGGGTGCTTTTGGGGGAATCATGCAGGAGGCTGTCAGAAAGCCAGCTGTGATTTTCCTCACATGAAGGGATGCAGTGGGAATGGACGTCATTGCCACCAAGCAGAAGTGAGCTGCTTATGTTGTGAAAGATATAACCTAGATTATTGATTATGAGCAGTTGCCGTGCGATAGGGGATGTGAAGTAACTGTTTGTTTGGGAGTTCAGGGAAGAGCCATGAGAAGTGAAATGCAGTTTGTGTTTTGGCTGTCAAAATGGTGGAGCTTTCCTGGAGTGAAAGGTGTGGGCTTTGTGCAGGCAGGCCCCGGGTTGATTTCTGTAAGCAGGCCCCCTCTCATATTGGTTTTTGCTTGCTGCTTGCTGTGCCTACCTGCCTGCTCCCTGTGCTTGCTGCATCTGATACCAGTGGTTGTGGCCGGGCTCCCCAGGGCTGTGGGCCTGGTCCTGAGCTGCTGCAGCTTAAAGACCATCTGCATGTGGGTTGTCCTTCCTGGAGCATCGGGTTGGACTTGGTGATCCCTGTGGATCCCTTACAACTTGGGATGTTCTGTGATTCCATGATCTTGGTGATTTGCCTGGAAAATACCGGGTGATTTTTTTATCCCCTTATTTTTTCCTGGCATTTGAACTTGTAGTTTCACTTCTAAAGGTGAGAGCGGAGTTGGATAAGGGGAGGGTAAGTTGCTTCTTTATTTTCTATTCTCCCAGGTGGGTCTGTGTATGTAGTGCCCAAGCTGTGGTAGCTCTGTAACTGGGAATGTTCCTAAGGGTCATAATAAGAGTGCTGCCAGCACAGAATTTGTCCACAGGACTGCCTGCTGGATTAAGTTCTGTAGATTGAATATCTGCTATTTGAGATGGTCTGTTCTGTTTGTTTTTTCCAAGACATCAGGTTTTGAGGTCACTGAGATGTATGGATTAATCAGTCGCTTGCATCTTGTGTGAGCTTGAAGCAGTTGAATCGTCCCACACAGCACTGTTAAATAAAACCTTATAATGGCTTTGGGATCGTAGCTCTGTGCTGCGCCCCTGGTGTGAATGTCTGTGCTGCAGGTGGCATCCGTCCTGTCCTCCCACTGTGCTCCTCATTGGCAGCAGGTATCACCCTCAGCTTTCTACCGCACACAGCAGTTTCTGTCTGAGCAGAGATTTGGTCACTTTCCAGTTTCTCTGTGGCACCCCCTGTGCTGTTAGTTCTCCTTCTGTGTTGGTGTCCTGTCTAGTCTTCAGCTTGCCCCAGGATGCCAGGCCAGCTGGAAAGAATTTTCAACTTATATCCATCCTGATATTTTTATGTACTGTCCTTTGTCTTGATGAGGAACACCCTGGAGTCTTCTGAAGAAATCACCATTTCAGACGTGCGTGTTGTTCACCTGTACAGCCAATTACTCCTCTCAAGGCTCTTGTTCTCTAATGCGTTCAGTTCAGGATCAGTCCCTGTCCTTTGTCCTCCCTGCTTTGCTGTCCTGTATGGATTTCCCTGAGGTTTTTCTTCAGCCTGCTTTCCTTTCAGTGCTGACAATCACGAGGAGCTCTTAGTTGTATGCTGCTGTGTTCATTTTCCTCGGTTCGTTTTCCTTCCTGATGTACAGCAGGTGCTGGTGGTAGCAGAGCCCCTGTTCTCTGTGAGTGACTTGTGCTGAGCCAGTGTTTATTGAGCTCTGATCTGCAGGATTAAGCACAGCTACTTGTGTGGAATGGTGGTTTGCACTGCTTTGAATTTAGTCCTGCTGGCCAGAGATGGACGAGGCAGGGATGTTCAGATACTGAGAAACGTGTTGGTGTTTGATACTTGCGGTGGATTTCATTTTTTAAGTGAGCACTGGGAACCAGTGAAGTTGAGCAGAGGAGCCTTAGTGGTGTGGTTGTATCAGGTGTGCCTGATTTCATCATGATAGGTGGCCTCTTAGTAGAGTTCAGGCTGTGACCCCTCAAAGCAGTAATGGGACGAGTTCTGTGTGATACCAAGGCTAATCCAGAAGGGTTTGGATGAAGCTGTCCCAGAAGAGTTACCGGTCCTTAGCAGCCTGGCTGGTGTGTGATGTACGTTACTGAGACACTCCTTCCTCTGCGTTTGATGAAGCAGATGCTGTTACATAAGATCCAGTGCCTTAATGCCCTTAGCTTCAAAGCACGGTGAAGGCAGTTGGAAGGCAGGAAGGTGACAAGTTGGAGTCATATTGTGAGCCCAAATTCAGCAAACCATTACTGCTAAACAGGGGCCTCAGGTATGTTTTAAGCTTTTCTGATTCCTATGAGACTCGGACGTCTGTTTAAGGCTTGCAGTGCAGGTGCCTAGGAGCCATGTTTTTCCTAGGGAGAGCGGTGTGCTTGCGTACCTTGTGTGCTCTTCAGCAAGGGCATGGTAAAAACCAGTCCTGGATGTTGGGTGAGGAGCAGGGAGAGAGTGGAGCCCAGCCAGTGATGGCAGTCCTGAGCCAACGGGTTTCTGTGCCTCTGTCTGCAGCAGAGACGTTTGGAAATTCTCAGATTAGCTTTGATAAGCCTCTGAGCTTCTGGGTGCATTTCGTGGCCAGTTCAGTCCTCTCGAAAGCTTGAGGTTTGTCCATCACTAATTTTCAAATTAATTACACGGAAAAAAATATTTCTTGAAAACAGAAACAATAATGAATATGCTAGTAGTGTCACTGCCATGGAGGAGCACAAAGTAGTAGCCAAGGGATAGGAGAAATAAGAATGCCCTTTGTTTCTTTTCTCTAGGATCTCAAGAACTATTGACAAACATGAAAATATTTAATATGCACATAAAAAAGGATAGCAGTACTAACAGTTGGAAAAAATAATGTGAGTTACCCAAGTTTCACCCCAGGTCAAAAAGCTTTGGAACTCTCCAGAGTAGAGAACAGTTTCTCTGGTTTTTCATTTTGCTGAGCACTGAAAGCATCAGAGAGGACTTGCTGGCATCTTGCTGGCACCCCCACCAGCTCCCTCAGCAGCCCAGGACGGAGCCCATCTGGTCCCATGGGCTTGTGACAGTCCAGATGGAGGAGGAGCTCGCTGACTGTCTCCACCTGCATCCCTGGGCTGCGTTCTGCGTAGCATCCCAGACTGCAGATTGGGGCATGAAGTGCCCTGATGATAACTGATCTGCCTTTTACAGGCAGGTGTGAAGAAGGCATTGAGGACCTCAGCCTTCTGCTTATCCTCAGTGGTCACATGCCCCGCTGCATCAAGAGAAGGGTGGAAATACCGGTGCTCTTTAACATCTTTATTAATGACATCGATGAGGGAATTGAGTGCACCCTCAGCAAGTTTGCTGATGACACCAAGCTGAGTGGTGCGGTTGATACGGTGGAAGGAAGGGATTCCATTCAGAGGGACCTCGACAGGCTGGAAAGCTGGGCTCAGGTGAACCTAATGAGGTTCAACACGGCAAAGTGCAAGGTTTTGCATTTGGGCCGGAAGAACCCCAGGCACCCGTACAGGCTGGGAGGAGTGGTCCTTGAGAGCAGCTCGGCAGAGAAGGACCTGGGGGTCCTGATGGACGAGAGACTGAACATGAGCCAGCAGAGCGCTCTGGCAGCTCGAAAGGCAAATGGGATCCTGGGCTCCATCAGGAGAGGGGTGGTCAGCAGGGACAGGGAGGTGATTGTCCCTCTCTACTGGGCTCTTGTGAGGCCCCATCTGGAGTCCTGTGTCCAGGTGTGGAGCCCCCAGTACAAGAAAGACACTGAGATTTTGGAAAGGGTCCAGAGGAGGGCGACTGAGATGATCAGGGGGCTGGAGCACCTCCCCTATGAGGACAGGCTGAGGGAGTTGGGCTTGTTCAGCCTGGAGAAGAGAAGGCTGCGGGGTGACCTCATGGCAGCCTATCAATACCTGAAGGGAACCTACACCCAGGAGGGGAGTAAACTCTTCAAAAGGGCTGACAAGAGCAGGACTAGGGGAAATGGACCAAGTTGAAGGAGAGAAGATTGAGGTTGGATGTTAGGGGGAAGTTCTTTACAAGGAGAGTGGTTAGGCCCTGGAACGGGCTGCCCAGGGAGGTTGTGGATGCCCCGTCCTTGGATGTGTTCAAGGCCAGGTTGAACGGGGTCCTGGGCAACCTGATCTGAATGTGTGTGTTTGGTGGCCCTGCTAGGCAGGGGGGTTGGAACTACATGATCCTTGAGGTCCCTTCCAACCCGGGTGATTCTGTGATTCTGTGAAATTCTCCTTGGTTCTTCTCTTACCACTGATAGGTTTATAAAAGGATTTCTTGTTCTCGTACTGCGGTGACCAGTCTGAGTTCAAGTTGGGCTTTTGCCTTCCTAACTTCCTCCCTGCATACCTTTGCAACTGCCTTGCAATCTCCCCAAGCAGCCCGTCCTGCAGTTTGTCACCTTACTGCCCTTCTTGTCTCCCTAGAGCCCATCTGACAGGAAAACATTATTTAAAGACTCATTTCAATGGGTATAGCATAAAACATACTGGTAGTGGGCATGAGAAGTGGAATTGAAGAAATCTGTTATGTGTGCTTCGTTCTTAATGCCCTGCCACCTTAATAATGTTGTTTGGATAGAGACTAACAAAACCTAGCAGCATACAGCCATGCTTGTGTATCTAAAGATCATGCAAAAATGTGAAATTCTCTCTCTAAGTGTCACTGTGTCCATGAAACAAATATAAATATTTATATATATATTTTTTCTATAAAGACGAGAACTATTTTGGAAATGTCATAAAAATACTGCTTAGAAATAATTTTAAACAGCATTTAGTTTTAAAGCGTTGTAACTCGGTACTGATTTTATAAGAGCGAGCTGCCAGGGTTGTTGTGCACCATTTGTTCCAGTAACAGTGGTGATTATTATTTTTCCTCACAGTTAAAAGCAGGAATCGGGGGCTGTGGAATAGAAGGAATAAAAAGTCAGTTAAAACTTCTACTGCTGTAACAATAAATAATAATTTTTTAAAAATCTGCAAACTTAGGCTGGTTTGTGTGTCTGGAGAGGTAAAGCGTTTCGCTCAACAACGATGAAGCGATTTTTAAAAAGCTTGGGAGGTGAATGCGTTTTAAAAAGCAGAAATATGAAAGATGGAAAGTAGTGAATCTGTGGTGATGGATCTTGGGGGTGTTATCGCAAGCAAGGAAGAAAGGGTGAAAGAGCTTTTGGGATGTTTGCGAGTTGGAAGAGGAGTTCTGAATCAGCTTTGAAAAAGCAGCAGTTCTGTGCTGGGCAACGTGCTGCTGGAAGGTGCAGTAAGTGAACGTTTCGTTAGGAAACTTCAGGGGTTGGTGTTTGAGTAAAGATGCATGAAACTGAGCCCTGAAAGGGAATAAAAGATCCAAGGCTTGATTCTTGAGATGAAGAACCTCAAGTAGGTGTGCATGGGAGGTGGTGTGGATCTGCCTGAGGGCAGGGAGGCCCTGCAGAGGGATCTGGATCAGCTGGATCGCTGGGCCAAGGTGAATGGGATGAGGTTCAACAAGGCCAAGTGCCGGGTCCTGCATTTGGGCACAACAACCCCATGCAGCACAAAGGTTTGGGGATGAGTGGTTGGATGACTGTGAAGAGGAAAGGGACCTGGGGGTGTTGGTTGATGCTCGGCTGAACACGAGCCAGCAGTGTGCCCAGGTGGCCAAGAGGGCCAGCGGCATCCTGGCCTGCATTAGAAATGGTGTGGCCAGCAGGAGCAGGGAGGTGATTGTGCCCTGTACTCAGCACTGGTGAGGCCGCACCTCAAGTGCTGTGTTCAGTTTTGGGCCCCTCACTACAAGAAAGACAATGAGGGCCTGAAACATGTGCAGAGAAGAGCAACGAAATGGTGAGGGATCTGGAGCACAAGTCTTATGAACAGCGTCTGAGGGAGCTGGGATGGTTCAGTCTGCAGAAGAGGAGCTCAGGGGAGGCCTCATAGCACTCTACAACTTCCTGAAGGGAGGCTGTGGTGCAAAAGGGTCTGGCCTCTTCTCCCAGGCTAATAGTAGGACCTGAGGAAATGGCAAGAAGTGGACTTGGAATGGAAATGGCAGAGGAGGTTTAGGTTGGACATGAGGAAAAACTTTTTCTCTCAGAGGGTGGTCAGGCACTGCAATGGCTGCCCAGGGAGGTGGTGGAGTCGCCGTCCCTGGCAGCGTTCAAGAGGCGCCTGGATGAGGAGCTATGAGATGTGGGTTAGTGCTTGTGGTACTGATAGCAATGGGAGGGGGGTTGGACTGGATGATCTTGCAGGTCGTTTCCAACCTTGTGATTCTGTGATTCTGTGATTTTTTTCTTTATTAGAAGAATACACCATTGGTCATCCTGGGACTTCCTGGGTTTTAGAAACCAAACAAATACAACAGCGAGGGAAAGGCAAGCTACAGGAAAAATTTACACTAATTGGCCTTTAATCAAGGAGCAAGGAACTTGTGAATAAATTCTTCTAAGTACCACGTGTAACAGAATTTACCTTAAGAACAGTGTCAGCCCATTAGCATTCTGTGCAGTCTGAGAGTGAAGGAGTGCTGTTTAAGGTGTGAACTTCAACATCATCTTATAGAGGATTTGCTCAAACAAAAAGAAACAATTAGTTATTACATTCTCATTTCTTTTATAAAACTTGTTGTCATCCATACACTCTACTCTGTTGTCATCCGGCCCTCTGCTCTGGTTTGTGTGGGACTTTTGGGCAGGAGATAGGGGTGGAGTTTCTGGTGTGCCCTGATGCCAGGAAGGCGGTTTCCAGTGCTGGCAGCCAAAGCTGCCCGGGCGGTGGCTTGAGCTCCCCAAGCGAGCTGTCAGCCACTTGTTAGCTGTGAAGGCCTTACCTCCCCGGCCTTCCAGACCACCTCCACCCACACCCGCAGACCCCCATCAGCAGCTGGTGCGTATTCTAGGGCCAGAATCCACTCCGAGCTGTGGATTCTCTGTGCAGTCAGAAAATGAGCAAAACGTTTTCCGATTCATAAAAACTAGTTTTTTTTAATGGTAAATTCTGGGATACACAACTTCTATTTTAACAGCTTGCATTCTGTATCATTGTACAGAAAACCCTTCCTCAGGTTCGGCTCCTCTGTGCCCTGTTGCTGGCCGCAGAGAAGGGCTGCCCGCTGGGCACAGGGAGCGCCTTCTAGCCGCCGTCCCGTGCCCTGCAGCCCCCTCCTCATCCCGTGCGGAACGCCGCTCCCAGCAGCACAGGTGCCATTGTGGAACCTTCCCCATGTCACAGCCGTCACCTTGGTCACTGCCGCCCCACCCGGCGCACTCGTCTCTGAGAGTGCTGGGCAGGTGGCAGCCATGTCCAGCACGAAGAGAGCGAGAGCTGAGGAGGAGAGGGTGGTTTTAAATGGGAAGAGGGAGCTGGGGGCCCCAGAACCAAAGAGGAGGAGGGGGCCCACCATGACCATCAAGCAGAGGAGGGAGAGGAGGAAGGGAGCCCGGTTCCATCGCCCCCGGGCCAGCGCTGTGAGCGACCATGGGGAGCCCATGGAGGTGGATCCGCCTCCAGAGGAGCCCATGGAGGTGGATCCGCCTCCAGAGGAACCCATGGAGGTGGATCCGCCTGCGGCACAGCTGGCCTGGCACCACACCACCGTGCCAGGCCCCGTGTTGGCGCGGTCACAGCTCCGCCATCGCTGGTCCGGGCGCTCGGCCCCTTACCCTCTGCGCGGCCCCCGCCCCCGGCATTAGCTGGGTGGCATTGCTAACATCTGCTCCTCCTCCACCTTGTTGCTCCTCTGTGGTTCTGCGGGCCCCCAGTTCCATCTTCCCCCCGTAGGAGTTAGGCTTTGTTCTGGGCTTTGTTGTTGATTTTAGTGTTAGCTTAGTTTTAGTGTTGAGTTCAGTTTTAGTGTTAGGCATAGGTTACTGTTAGGAGAGTAGAGTTAGGCATAGGTTACTGTTAGGAGTGTAGAGTTAGGCATAGGTTACTGTTAGGAGTGTAGAGTTAGGCATAGGTTGCTGCTGCCAACTGGCAGTAAATGCTGCTCACTCGGTAAGCACTTCCCTGATTTATCCTGCAGAGAAATGAGTGCGACTGCCCTGAGAAGGGAGGTTTGATGGCATCTGCGATGAATTGAATTTCTGCCTTGTGACTTTTCTGTTGTAGAACATGGAGGAGCAGAGCGTGAGTGGCTGAGAAATGGAGTTGGGACTCAGGGGAGCCGTAGGTGCTGTGTCACAACCTTCCTGAGCGGCCCTTGCAAGGTATGTGTCTCTTACTGTAAGCGTGTGCTAAGGCAGTGCTGTTCAAACACAGCTGGTGGCACTGTCTGCAACAGATCTGCTTTCTGTTAAGCTTTTCCCTTCTTTTATGTCCTCCTGTCCTTTTCAGCTCCTGCTCCCCTCGCCTGCAAGTGGAGAAATGCTCAAGCTTGAGGAATCTTTTCCTTGGCAGCTGGAAAAGATGGCACAGCTGCAGGTTTTGTGTCCTTCATTGTCATTGGGTCAGTAGACCAAGGAGATGTTCAGAACAGCTCTAAGTCAGCCTGTAACAGCAGTGTGCATGAGAGAATAACGACTCCTTCTCCCGTCTTGTAGAAAGCAGCCTCCTTGAGAGCAGGAGAGCAGCAGGCTGCCTGCTGTGTGGCTGCTGAAGGGCATTTCTCCCAGCTGAGATCCCCGAGCCCACGCTGGCAGGGAATGTGCTGTGCCACCATCTCTTCTGTGGAGCCACTTTGCAGCTTCTCTGCGTTAGCTGCAGTCGTGCCAGTTTCCAGGTGCCATAAGCCAGTAAGTCGTGCTCTCTGAGGCTGATAGAAAGGCATGGGCAATGGGCAGGGAGGGAACAATCTGTAGCTGTGGCCTACGGTGGTGTGCCCAGCACTGCTGAGCGTGCCGTCGTTTGTCCTGCCCTTCCTTCCGTGTGCGCGTGTTCCTGATGCACGCCAGGAGCCTTGGGGTGCTGCTCATCTGCTGCTGCTGCTGCTGTGCTGTGTGTGCTGCCAGGCAGTGTCCAAGCCCTGTGCAGGCGCTGCCTTGCAGGAGATGGCTTTGAGTTCTGGTTTGTGTGGGACTTTTGGGCAGGAGATAGAGGTGGATTTTCTGATGTGCCCTGATGGCAGGAAGGCGGTTTCCAGTGCTGGCAGCCAAAGCTGCCTGGGCGGTGACTGGAGCTCCCCACGCGAGCCGTCAGCCACTTGTTACCTGTGAAAGTTCCCTGACCGTTTCTGCCTTGATTCTTGTAGGACTGGCACAGTCTTGGGACTCAGACTTGGGAGACGGTGAAGAAAGCCAAGGCAAGTGCTGCTCGGCTGCAGAAGAAAGCCCAGAAGGAGAGCAAAAAGAACCGAGAAGGGCTTGAGCGAGAAGGCCCACAGGACGCTCGAATCAGCTGGAATGCTTCCTCGGAGGTGGCACCAAAGGCAGCGGCCTGAGTCGCCTGGTTTTCTGGCATGGCCGTGCTTTCCCTGTCACAGACAGTGCAGTGAAACTGAGGCACCTGGAAGGGAAGGGCTTGTGCTGCATTCCAAGCAAAGAGGGCTTGCCAGAGGCAGGACTTCATCTATGGCAAGAGATGGAGAGGCTGTGTTCCTTCAGCATGTGTCTCTTCAGGGCCAGAGCCAGTCTAGTATGAGATTGAAATACGGCTAGCTGGGCCTGGAGGGAGAGGAGGTGGCGTAGTCAGGCTTCTCCTTATGTCTGACTGGAGGCTGAATGACTCATTGGTAGGCAGAAATCCTGGACACTGTGGTTTCGTTTTGGATTTGGGTTGCATTTATCAGCACAGCCCTTTTGTATTGAATAAAAGCGAAACCAACCTTTTAAAATGGTGCTGCCTCTTTCCGTAGCTGGTCAAAATGTCCCATGCTTGGGCTGGCAATTGTGGGGCCATGAACCGGTCGGCTCTCCCCTGAAATTCTGCTGTTTTTCCCCCGTTTCTTTGTTGGTCTTCCCAACGGGTGGCCTTTCAGCCCACCTGTAACTGCTGGCCACAGGCTGTGAGCATCCCTTTGCTCTCCAAGGACCGCTAGCAAAAGCACGAAGGAGGGGAAGTGGCCCGGGAGGAAGAAAGGTGTCCCTGCACTCAGCTCCTTGAGCTTGCCTTCCCTGATGGCTTTTTCAGCCTTGGGCTGTGCTGAGGGCTGCCGTTTGCCCCAGGAAGCCCAGCTGCACGCGGCAGCGGTGGCCTGCACGTCAGCCTCCCGATGAGGCACGAGGAGTTGAGGTGTGGGTGGGACGGCGTGAAGAGCAGCGCTGGGAGTGGGGAGGAGGAGAGGGCAGCGGGAGAACGTGCCAGGGGCCCAGAGCTCAGCCCCGAGGAAAGGAGCCGGTTGCAAAGAGAAAGCCAGCTTCCACTACTTCTAAGTGGTCGTTGCATCCTAGGTCTGGGTCTGGATCCAGCGGGGCTAAGTCACCTGCAGCAGCTCCTCGGGGCTGGGTCTGAGCCCGGCGCCTGGGGCTGCGCTGCCTGCAGGAGGGCTGGGGCTGGGGCAGCCGGTGCGGGTGCAGCACGTGGGGATGTGGGAGGGCGTGCAGGAGGGGGGGCGTTGGGCCCGAGCCCCGCTGGCGTTTGTCACAGCACAGGGCTGCGGGGGACGCCGGCAGCGCAGAGCAGGGAAAGCTGGGCTGAAATCTTCCCTCGGCACACAGGGAGCTGCTGAGGTTTTCCCCCAAGTCTTCGTGCTCTCACATAATAAGGCTCTGCAGCAAAAGCAGCCGGGCACTCCTGATCCTTGGGGCTCAGGAAAGGGCCAGAAGAAGAGGGGTGGCCAGCAGGGACAGGGAGGCGATCGTCCTCCTGTGCCCCCACTCTGCTCTTGTGAGGCCCCATCTGCAGCGCTGCGTCCAGGTCTGGAGCCCCCAGTGCAAGGAGGACAGGGAGCTGTTGGAGAGGGGCCAGAGAGCCACAGAGATGAGCAGGGGGCTGGAGCAGCTCCCTTACGAAACAGGCTGAGGAGCTGGGCTCATTTGGCCTGCAGAAGAGAAGGCTGCGGGGTGACCTCAGTGCAGGCTGCAGTGCCTGAAGGGAGCCTACAAACAGGAGGGGAATCAACTCTTGGAATGGGGAGATAACAGCAGGACGAGGGGAAATGGTTTGAAATTGAGGGAGGGGAGATTGAGGTTGGACGGCAGGGGGAAATTCTTCGCAGAGTGGTGAGGTGCTGGAACTGCTGCCCAGAGAGGCTGTGATGCCCCGTCCATCCCTGGAGGTGGTCAAGGCCAGTTGGATGGGGCCCTGGGCAGCCTGGGCTGCTATGGAATGGGGAGGTTGGTGGCCCTGCGTGTGGCAGGGGGCTGGAGATTCGTGATCCTTGAGGTCCCTTCCAACCCTGGCCGTTCTGTGATCCTTGTGATCCTTTGCTGTTTCATGCTCCTGCTGCTGCTGCATAGGTTGCTGTTGGTTTACTCTGTTTTCCTTGTTGTTTTTCTGTTGCTTCTGTCTTGATTTCCTGCTCCTTCTGCATTGCAATGCATTGTTTTTTTTTCCAGTTTTGTTGATTTTCTTTTCCCTTCTGTTTCTGTTCTTTGAAGTCCTTTTTCCTTTCCTAAGCACATTCCCTTCTGTTTGCGAGGATTTCAGGTGATTTAGCTTTGCTTTCCTTGGCTTTTTAGTACTTGCCCTTTCTTTTATTTTTCCTGGTTTTGCTTGGCTTTGGTTTGCTCTTTGGTTTTGCGTTAGTATCTTGGCCCTGCATTGCTTTTAAATGTTCTTTCTTTCCATTGCTATGCATTGGTGAACGTTTTTATCAGTTTCCTTTGCTTGGATTCTTTGCTTTGTCATGATCGTGTATTGAATTCACTGGCTTTCCTCTTGTACCTCTCGACCTTGTTTTGCTTTGCTTTGTTTTCCTTCTTTGTTTTGTTTTGCCTTTTTGGTTTTCCTGCAGCGAGCCTTTTTGCTTTGCTTTCATTGTCTTTGTTTCCTATTTGTTGGTTGGTTGTCTTTCCTGCTCCTTTCTTTGCACGATCTTGTTCCTTGCTAGAAGCACTCTTTTACATTTCAGAGTATGTTTCTTGGCTTTGCTCTGCATCCGATCTCTGCATCACAACTCTATGTCAGGCTTTATTTTGGGGTGGAGGAATGTACATAGGTCATAGACTTGTACAAGAAAAGCTATTGCTGTGCCCAGGAGGTGATGAAAAAGAGCCCTGAGGAGCCAGGAGCACAAAGGCCGCAGCGTAAGCACATGTGAACCTTGAAGGGCTGCTTTGTGCCTCTCCAGGAACTGCTTTGGAATGGGGGATTTTCTGGAGTTGTTCCCGGTTGTTGCTCGGAGCTGAGGCTTTTCTCCTTGTATCTTTGCAGGAAAGCAGAGCGCAGGGAGCGTCTGTGGTGAGATGCTCAGGTGAAATTGCCTTCCCTGCACCAGCAGCCTGTTTGTGTCCACGTGATGCATGGTGAGGAGAAGCCTGCAGTTCTGTGAGTAAGCCTGGCAAATGGAATAATGGTTGTGGCCTTTTTGGCAAGTGTGTGAGGAGGGGTCTTTGGACAGGCCGCTCTTTGGTTGGTTTGGTTTTGCAGGGAAATTCATTTCATTTGTTTTTCTGCCATTTCAGTTGTTAGTTGCAATGGTTGGTTGGTGCTTGTTTGAAAAATATTGGTCATCTAGACAAGCAGTGCTGTCGCACCAGAGAAGTGAGAAATCTCCTGTGCATCCAGTCTTGTCCACGAGCCTTTCATTTAGACATTTAGTGCCTCTAAATGCCTGTAGAAGTGGGTGGGGGGATAAATGGGGAAGAGATGAGGTGCAGTTTCTGTGCATGCTCTGTGCACGGAGCAGGGATCACCTGCTGCGAGCTGGGAGCCCTGCAGAGCATCGTGGATTTGCTTTCCTTCCTTGTTGGAGCGCGGTGCTTTTGTAGGTGCTGTGTGCATTTGAAGTAACTGTGAACTCTGCTGAGACACCAGGTGTCCTAGAGAGAGCCCCAAGGTCCTCAGTTCAGTGAGGGCCTTTTTTCTCCATCTCTCAGTTGTTTTTCTTCTTCTTTTCTCCCTGTTAGTGTGACATACCTGGCCCGTCAGATAATTCAGCAGGGAGTGGTGCCTTCTTGCGAAGCTGTGGCAGGTGGGTGCATGCACTTCACTGCTGGTATGACAGAGCTGAAGAGGCCTGAGCTGTGTTAGAGCTTTGAGAGTTGGATGGAGAGTTCTTGACCAAGGAAGAGCCCTTTGGTCCCAGCCCCTGGGGAGAGGTTAGGATTGCTAAAGGGAGAGAGGATTCTTTGAGTGATCTCATGGGTCTAGGAAGGGAGCTGACAGGTTTTGGGTTCCTTTGCCGTGCTCTGCCCAGGCTGTGACAGTGCTGGGATTCGATTTTGAGTCCCTCAGAAGACAAAATGAGACAAAGGGTTTTTTGTGCAGCCTGGAACCCTGCAACTCTGCTGTAGGGGCTGCAGCCCAGGGTAGGTGCCCTGTCTCCACAACTGCCGACCACGTTCTTCCCTTGTCCACAGTGTCCACAGGCCAGCCCCTGAAGCCCCAGTCATCAAGACCCCGTACGTCATGTCCAACGCCATCTGTCTGAGCTGCCCCTGATAGCTGAGGCTACCTCATGTCCCCTCAAACTGCCAGGCATCCAAGCTTCTCCTCCTCTACCAGCTCTCCACTGACTCCAACACCTTTGCCACCTCCCGTGTGGTGTGGTGGCAATGCATGGTGCTGGATCAGGCCCAGACTCCCACCCTGACAGCAGGCCCGTTTCCAAAAGCTCTGCTCACTTCCTCATCCTGCTGGCTCGTGAGAAGATCCTGTTGTCAGCTCTGCCAACCAGCACAGCAGAGGTGGGATTGTTGTGGGCAGCCTGGAAAACAGCAGGGGAATAACCATTTCCCCCTTTGGCTGTTATCTGTTGAGAAATGCTGTCTGGTGAGTGTTGAGTCAGGGCCTGAACCACTGATGGAGCATCTGGGGAAAGGACCCAGTCAGCCCTGGGAGCACAGGTGAGGGCAGTTCAGTTGTATGATGGAATGAGGGGAGCCTGGCTGCACCTCTCCTAGACCTCATTGAAGGGCTGACTGTGCATGGGCAAGGATCTCTGGTTGGAGATCCCTCCCTTGTGGAGTTTTCCCTGTGAGCCTGGATCTTCAGGGACAGGTGAGCACTTTGTCTTTGTAACACCATCTGTTGTGCCAGTCCCTTTGTGGTTACACCTCCTTCCACTGCACTGATCATTCTGGTTGTTAGAGACGTCCTCTGCCCCTTCCCACCTGTAAAGCAAACAAGGCGATGACAGAGCCTTGATTTGAGATAGAGGAGCTATAGAACAGGATATCAAAGAAAGAGGAATCGACTCATCCCTCCCAGCTACAGTTTGGCAGAAAGCGGTGAGCTGAGGAATGCAGCCTTCTGCGTTTGAACTGCGGTGTGCTGAAAGGTGAAAGGGGGCTGAGGGCTGGGGGGGGAGACCTGTGCAGACTGACTGTGTGTGTGCTGCTGGGAGTGCTGCTGAGATGGAGAGAGAGGAAGGCTCCCCGCTCGAGGTACTCGTGTGCTCACGCAGTGGTTCAGGCTGTGACCTGGCAATTCCACTGCACCTCCCTTCCTGCACTGTCCATGTGCCACCTGCAGGTGTTGCCCAGCTTTTGGGGGACTCGCTGTGACCTCCCTGTCTCACCGCTGCCTTTGCACTGGACTTCACAGCACCTTGATGGTGAGTAGTGGTCCTCTGGAGATGCTGAGCAACAGTTGTGAGCTGCGCTCTTTTCCTGGACCATCCCAAGCCCTTCTCAGCCCAGAGCCTGTCTCTCTCATCTGGTGTTCTATGGATAAGTCAGCAAGATGGGACTTTGCCAGCCACCTGGTTTCAGCTTCACCACCCAAATGACAGCAGGGCAGTCCTGCAGCTCATGGCAGCCCTACGGCTCTGCTCCTTTGCCAGGCTGGAGAGCTGAATCAGCTCCGATTCTACAGATCCTTCCCTGAGCCCTGCTGCTGAGCACCGATACTTGTGCATCCTCTGGGCCACATCAGGACTGGAAAGAGGAGTAGATATCAGGTGGAAGGATCTGACCTTCTGCTGGTGACAGCCACCTGCATGGCCTGTTCCTGCTTTCTCTTTTCCCCAGGAGGCATTGTGCTTCCCAAGCAGTGCGTGGACCTTTCTGATGGCAGTGAGCAGCAAGGAGCCGACTGGGTCTCAGCTTCCTTCCTGCCCTGCACTTGACTGAGGGACCTTGCGACCAGCTCAGAGGTAAGAGGTGGCCATGGGCCCAGCTCTGCCAGCTCTCACTGCAAAAGGGAGCAGTTCAGGGAAAGACACAGCCTGGGTGAGCCTGAGCTTTACTCTAGCATCTGAGGGAGCTGTGGACATCAGCTGTGGACACGACTCATCGAGGTGTGGGTCAGCTGTGGATGCTCAGTGTTCTTAAGCAGCCCAGCTGTATCTCACAGGCTGTAGTCACAATTTCTCTGCGAGGCTGAGATACCCTGAGGATCACGGCGTCTCTCACTTTGCTCTCACGCCCTTGCTCACAGTCTCTGAGGAGCGACTTGAGCCCTGTGCCCACGTCCTCGCTCATGTGCTGGAGTCACCTTTATGCATTTTGGTGTCAGGGCTCTTGGGGCAAATCGTGCCTGGACACTGCCACACATGTAATGCCTTTCTGCGGTGCACACTGGAGGATGCAGAACTGGCTGGGTCTGTGATGCTTTAGGAAGTTGGTCTGAGCTATTTCAGCAGCAGTGAGAACTCTTCTCACCTAGTCTAACCTTAGAGCAGCATGGAGTGACCGGTGCTTCCTGGGGATAAGTCTTTTTTTCTACTTTCTATCCCAAGTCCTTTCCTTTCCACAGAAACAGCAGAAGTGTTCCTTCAGAGCCGATTTACCCCTGCTCTGTTTCTTTTCACCTTTTGTGGATGGATTTCTTTTCACCTTTGTTCCTCCCATTTTACAGCTCATAGCGGGGTGCCCAGGACACCCCACAGTTGTGGGGAGCAGCTGGCACAAGAGAAATAAGTCCTGAGGCTGCAGCAAAGATTTTGGGTCATTTGCAGTGGCTCAGTGGGAGCTTGCAGAGGCAAAAAGCAGCTGGAGATGTGCTCTACAGTTCTGTGCTGGTTTGCAAATTCCTCAGGAGTTGTCCTGGGTCACCTGGCTTCCACCAAGAGTGTTCCTCTTCTCTCCACAGATCACATCCCAGGTGCTGTCTGTCTGCCTGTGGTTCACAGATTGGTGCCTGCTTGCTCTGAAGTTGGCTCTTGGGATGCGGTGATTCAGTGTCTCACTGACAGTGCGACAAGTAGGACCTGGTTCTAGCAGGTTTGTTTCCTTGCCTAGCTTTATTTCCACTGCTGGGTAACTGTCCCTGCAAGAGCTGCTCAACAAAAGGAATGAAATGCACATTTTGCTGGAAAATTACCGCTGAGTTTTGCCCATTTCCTTTAAATGGAAAAGTGAACCTAACATGCCTTGCTGTTATCAAGGGATTTGTTTGCTGGAGGCAAGCTGAGGAATGGTGCCTGGGGCCTGTGGGCACAAACAGATCCCAGATTCCTGTTCATGCAGCAGCCTTTAAATGTTGCATTAGCAATGTTAGTAAGGCCAGACAGATCCAGGGACGTCTGTGCCCGAGGCTTGAAGTAAAGCTGGAGAAAAGCAGAACAGCGTAGGGGAGCTCGGGGTTGCAATTTAGGAAGCGGATACTGAGGGAGGCTAAAGGCTTTGCTAATACTTGGCTGGATGTAAGAAATGTTCTGTGTTAAGGACGTGTTTTCTATGTCAGTGGTCCACAGCATTTGAGGTACTTAATTCAGTGCAAATGAGAAAAGCTGATGCTTTTTGTCTACTTGGTAGTGGAACAAGGGAAATTGAGGAAGGTTTTCGGAACAACTTTATTCTTCACATCTTTCCAGGAAAAAAAACAATTCAGTCGGCCTGGGCTCTGTGTCATTTATTATGTCTGAGCCCTTGGAGCTGGATTTCTGCTCTTGGCTTTTCACAGGAGATTGGGCCAACAGAAAACAGCTGATCCAGGAGCTCAGCTGGATCCAGGCTGACCTGCTGCTTAGTAAGTCCCCTCCAAGCTCAGTTAAAAACTTCAGTTTTCTTCTCCAAGTTACGTTTGTCTGAGTTAAGCAAGCACTGAAGCAAATCTGTTTACCTCTGTTTTTCTTTCTGTGCTGCTCTTTCATTTCTGGACCTCCTGTAAGAATGACCACATGCTTTGCTTTTCACTGATTCTGGGGTATCACAGTGAACTTTCTCAGTCACGTATCTCGTCGCGAGCCGTAGTTAAGGATGGAGGAGCTTTTCCTCCCTGCATAACTGCTGCTTTCCTGGCTTTCAGAAGAAACCCCCTTGTGAGCAGTGTAATGGCTCAACCCTTCCTGCTGAGCAGCACGGTGGGTTGTGGCTGAGTGCTGACACAATGACTGTGCAGGGTGGGCTGGTGCAGCACACAGCTGTGATGGCTCTGTTCTGTCACTGATCCAGGCCTTTTTCAACTTAGTTACGTTATTTTGGTTGTTTCTTGTTTTTTAACATGATGTGCAAATGTAACGACCTGAAACCCGAGAGAGAAGAGCAAACCAAAGCTGCTCTTGGTTGTGTCCAGTGTGTAATTCAATGAGTCCCTCTGTATATTTCTAAGAGATTTGAAGTGGTCTCTGGATCGCTGCTTACCTCATTTCACGCTGCCCTGCAGTGTTTTTCCTTTCGGTGCCCTTTGGCTCTGGTTCTTAACTCTATTATACAGGCTCCACTTCAGATCTTCTTCCAAGGCCCTGCACCTGAACTGTTGTCTGCTGCAGAATCTCTTGAGTGCTTTTAGCACTGAGTGCACAACGTCCCCAAGCTCCTGCTCACCGCTGCAGTGCCGTCCTCAGGGAATTCCAGAAGCTCTGCTCAGTGTGGCCTCTTCTGCCTTCCAGCAGCATGGCCTCAAGCAAGCAGCTTTCTGCATTTTCGTAGCATGCTTTCTCTCCACAGTTGATTTTCAGCATTCTGGCTGATAGTTACCACTCTTCTCTTGACCTGATTCAAATCGATATTAAAACGAACGCTTTTCTAACACAGTTCACTAAAGATGAAGTCTATATTGTAGGAGTCTGAGCATGGGATCATTTGCTTGATGCGTTGTTATTGTGATGGACTAAGAGCTAAGATATTTTTAAAGACACAGGAGCTTTTGTGTATAAGAGTTTGGTATGAATAATAAAGTTTCTGGGTTTTTACTCAGGGGGGTGCAAGTTTGTGGCACTCTTTCATTCAATTTTGGATGGCACTTGTCTGAAAACTGCGCTATGTCCATTTCTGGTTTGCAGATAAGGCACTTTTAGGGCAAGCTGATAATGCACCAAAGTCTCTGAAACCCTAAAGTTGTGGTTAGCATGAAGTGTAGGAAATTAGGTCACCATTACCTCACTGTTCTGTTGTGGTTTTTTTTAATTATTTTCTAAATTTTAAATCCTGTCACATCTCCTGTAGTGGCCACCGTTGCTGTTTCACCAGTAGAACCCAAGATGGACGGAATCTCAAGCAGGCAGCTTGAGGAAGCCTGAGCCTGAAGGCCTGAAGCTTCAGAGAGGTGACTTCACTGCATGAAGGCAGCACCAGGAGAGAAACAGCAGGAAACGTCTGAGTGCAGACTCATCTCTAACACTGCAGCAATAGGTTAGATTTGGGATCAGAGTGTTTTGCAGAGCTCCTGGTAGGAGTTGCTCTCTGGAGCCACAGCTCTGCAGTTATTTGCCTTCTGGAGATACATATTTATTTGGATTAACTTCACTGGAAGCCTAGACAGTGCTAGCTGAGTCTTGGCTAGCTGACTGTTGGATGTGTGAAACGAGGTGGCATAAATTTGCCCTCACAGCTGTAAGTAGTGAGGTGAGAGTTAAACTCACCATGGGGAAAGGCAAAGATGGGAATGCCTGCCCAAAACCAGCCTGGAATTTGAGTGTGGTGAGCACATCCCTCATGCTAGTGACTCTAAACGCAGCGGTTGCTTTGATTTACTATTTGTTTGTCACAGTAATGATCCTTGTAGGATCAGTTATGATCCAGGGCACTGCCTGCTCTGCACAATATGAGGAGTTGGACTCCATGCACGCAACCAGGTGGTTGCATCCAAGACGGAGTTGGGGGTTAAAATGATGCTGTTCTGTGTTGTCTGAGATAGCAGAGAAAATGCAGTAAGTAACAGCCTGCTTGCTGGAGCAAAGTGCTGCAAGGCACAGACACATGGCTGGTGCTGGGTATGTGTGCAAGCTGGAGAGAGAGCAGTGGTGCTGGAGTCGTGGGAGTGGGGGTCTCATCAAACTTGCACAGCAGTTGCCTGGTAGATGATATTTTTTTATTCCTTCTGGTATTACTTTGGTACACAGGACTCCCAGCCAGAATCAGAGCTCTGAGGTCTGTTTTGAACTTTGTTAATACAAAACTCTCTCACTTCCTTGCTTTCTTAGCTGGTATGGACAGACCAAACTAACCAACCCCACTGGAGCCCTAACGCTCCTTTTGCAGCTACTTCAGACCTCTGCCATCTCCCATTGCTTGTTTCTGTTCTGGTGATTTGGTCTGCAGACTTCAACGAGCTTGCAGTGCTGCTGTTGTTGCTGTTGTTTTTAAAGAGGAAATGCCCAAAGGGTTCCGGTCTGAAAAGGACTCATGCTTGCACTGTGACCAGGAGCAGCTCAGGGGTGTTCCTCGTTCTCACTTGGCCCCAAGTATGAGGTGAGCTGCTTTCTGCAGGAGCTGACTGGCATCACACCCAGGTGCCTTTGGTTCCCACTCAGCCTTATGACTGATTCAGGAAGAAAAATTGGGGTGGTGGGGCTGGGTCATGTATTGGCAGTACCCCAAATAACAGAAGAGAAAAATGGGCAGGGCGCTGCAGGTGCAAACCTCTTCTCTTCCTGCTGTTGCACGTTTTTGTTATTCTGGATAAAGCAGAGCACCCCGGCCTCGTCTGGGGTCTGCAGGCACAGCTCTGATGGAAGAGGTAACAGAAGGGCTGCTGGAACATGACTGTGGTGTTTTAAAGTAGCAGCTGAGCACAAATGTTTGCTGTTGGGCTTCTTGGGAGAAGGGGCACAGGCAGATACAGCTCCCACGGTGCTCTGTTAGCTGGCGTCTGTTGTGAATGCTGAAACCTCAGGCTTCCTGTGCTGACTGCAGGTTTTCACTTCACTGGGGTATTTGCAATGCATGGTTGTCATACTGTAATACTCGGATAAACCATTTTTCTGTCTCTGGGTGAGCACTTCCACTTCCCCCTCCTGCTCTGTGTGATTCTGGTCTTTCAGCTAACTTTTGACTCCAAAACTTCGGGGAGTTCATCGTGCCTCACTTCCAGACTGACCATTTGATCTTCTTGACAGCAGAAGTAGAAGATGCTTCACCACCTCCCTGCACTGCTGCACTCCATGCCATCCTGTAGGGCTCCTCTGTGCAGCTCTTCAGTGCTGTAAAAGGTCCTGTAAAGGATTGCATTGCTTGGCTCGGTGCTGAAGGCAGCAGGGCACACAGTGTCCTTGGTGTGCTCCAGCAGCAGTGGAAACAAGGCTGAGCCAGCTCGTGTGCATCTTAGCTCTGGCAGGGATGATCAGAGCCATAGCTCAGCAAGAACCAGCATTCCCTCTGCAAGTGAAAGGTCAGGAGTGCAGAAAGCTCACTGCCTTTTTAGGAAGGTTG